AATATTTGCGATACCTTTTCTATTTTCAACTTTTATAATAAAAGTAAAATATTATGAGTAAACTTTTAAAAGTATGCAGCACAATGAAAATGTTGGCTTTGTGTGGGGGGCAGGTGTATGTTTAATTCTTTTTTTTATTGCTTTTGTTTGTTTTTTTGCAGTGCTAGGACCTCTGTACAGGGTAGGTAAGTGCTCTGCTACTGAGCTCCATCACCAGCTCTGATTGTGTATTTAGAGGAGTAAAGTAGTCAGCAAAAATTCTCCTCATAAGATTAATAAATAAAAATAAAATAAGGGAGTAGGAACCAAATAGGAAAAATTTCATATTGCTCTCACCACTTTGCCATCTCAATTTAAATATCAGCAGGTGCTAATTCTCTTTCATTAGGATGAAGAAGTAATCTTTGAATAGAGCAAAACTTTTTATGAAATAATATTGTGAAGACAGCTGACAGTTTCTGCTCTTTTTTTAACATATAAAAAGTTCTGTTTTTTTTTCCCCCCTAGTACTCTAACATCTGTTCAGTTGACAAAGACAAATTCTATGGCATTTCTTTCAAATCACCTATGTAAGAGCTCAATGAGTTTGGAGAGATGAAAAATAAACAATTTAACAGTAGCTACCCATGTGCTACTATTAGCACATGTAAATCAGCAACAATATGGTGTATTATTTCACTCCAGCTGGATAAACAATGAAAGAATTGATGGCATTCTGTTAGAAGTGAGGAATAGACCATCCTCTAAAGACTGATCTCAAAGCCCCTCAGATTTTTCTCATATGAGGGCACATCTTAAACATTAAATTAGTTATCCCACAAGACATTTCCTGTATGTAATACAGAGACACATTTCCTGAATGCTGACTGCATACTGGAAGCTGTAATGGACAGTTTGTACTTTGTGTATTGTTTCAGATTATTGACTTGTGCTCCGTTTTCAGTGTTTGGCATTTTAGATTTTTTATGTAAATTTTAATTATCATTTAATGTGAAGTTGAGAGAAGGCACAGTGTCCTACAGAATGCCTGCCTACGAAGTGAAGAGGTTTTGAGGCTTATCTGAAATCAAAGTCACTACTACTCGTTGCTGACTCTATATGCCCATATTTCCTCTAAAACACTGTAACGGTTATTAGATTGGGCCGTAAAAAATTGAGAGTATATTGAAAACACATAAAAAAAGCACTCTCATAGAGAAAGGCAAGGTCATAGCTGTAAAGAACCCAGAGTCTTAACTTTTATAATAGTCTACTCTAAGTTCTTATACAAAACTATACTGTTCCAGCTCTATAAAATTTAAAAGGCAATGGGAATCAGGGAAAATCCCTATTTAAACTTTCAAGTGATTTCCAAATTTTGACATTTCCATATAGTGTTCTGAATCCAATTATAAATAATTGGTTAAATATATTAATCAGAGAACAGAATTTTGAGTTCGAAATAAAGAAGTCTCTTAGGTCCATCACCAACTATGTAGATGTTGATCATCAATCACAAGATGATGGGTCTTAAGAGCCCTTAAAAACCAATTAGAACAATGGTTCAAACTACATCTTCTTTTGTTAAATTTGAAAATGCAGTGCACCCTCCCCCCACTGAAAATGGTAATTTCTCCATGGGGTATTTGACACTTTTTATTAATAATTACTGGAACATTTTTTAAAATTAAATCTAGCAAAGAAGTCATCAAATTCTGATATACATAATTTAAATCAGCAACTATAAGAAGAGAATATTAAATATGTAATATTGAACTATATCCTAGACATTTTGACCTCCCTGAAAGGGAATGAAATTGAACAAATTATTTTATATTCATGTGTGAATATGACATAATGAATCCCATTATTATGTATAACTATAAGGTACCAATACATTTTTAGTTAAATTATTTAGATTAACCCCTTGATTTTAGACATGATCAAAGTCATGATGAGGTGTGCTGTCTTGACAAATGAATACTTCACTACTTACAAGTGGAGAGTTCAAGGCCACATAGGCTGTCCAGTTTTGCAGTTCATCAAAAGAGTGTCTGTTGGCATTACTTCCTAGATTTATATTGTCCAATTAAGATTCTACACTATTCGGGTTTCCTTTTGTATACTCTATCAGTTGAGATTGCTGTTAGATGCTCTGCTGTCTTTATCTTCTAACTTTTATCTCCAAGATTTCAAAGAGTTGTTTCAACTCTTAAGTATTGAGACTTAACTTAGGAGTGCAGCAAGAAGGTGAAGTGTAATAAATCATTTTATACCTATTAACCTAGAAATATATCATTCAACTATCCCTCAACTACCCCTTACTGAAAAGGAGTTAAGAAAAATATTTGTTTATCAAGAAACATTGCAACCTCAGAGAAAATCCAATGCATTTCTGAATACCTACCATGAAGTAGATTGTGAACAACCAGCAGGATCTGGCCCATAGCCATATCCATGGTGGTGGTATGAATGGATAGTTGCACCAATTGTCAAGTGCAGCTCCATTAACCAGATACATTACTATGTCAACTTCAAGTTATAAAACATTTTTCATAGTTTTATTTTCCCAGTGTCTTAATCCATTTTGTGTTTCTGTAACAGAACCCAGTGATTCATAATGAGAAGAATTTAATTTTATTACAATTCTGGACTTTGGGTATTCCAAGGTCAGGGCACCTTATCTGGTAAGAGACTTCTTGCTATGACAGATGATGGGAGAGAAAGGGGGCAAGAGGGGACCATGATCACACTTCAGTAGTGCCATAAAACCTGCTTGTGAGTGTGTAGAACTCTTGACCCAACACTTCAACCACAATACAAACTCAATTGCAACATGAATCTTGAAGGGATGAGCATTTAAATCACAGCACCTACTTAATAATCCTTTTAGCACTTATTACGTTTTCATTTTAAACTCAAATTTCTACTGGTAAATTATTTTGGTTTCTTTTCAAATATTAAAAATTGATAAATGGTATTCTATAATGATGTAATCATTTTTTAAATTAAACATTCTTGTCTAGTTGTGACCCATTTGAGTTGGCCATATGTAATGATATATGAATTATGAATCTACATAGTATCTTGAAAAATCTTTCTAAAACTGGAAGGCAAGATATAATGTAACTCTTATAATCCATTTATTTTATCTATTTGAGATATTCTCTCCCCCAAAAATAACCCAGTCCTTCTGGCACTTCCCCCAGTAGTCTTTTTGGAAAACAGTTAAATACTTACATTGTAACCCTGGGAGAGGACTTGTCTTACTTCCTGGGCTTTTACTGATCACCTGTCATAATTTCCACATTCCTCTACCTGTTTTCGTTTACTACTATTTTCTAGAACTGCTTTTTCTCCTCTACTGACCAAGAGAGTCATAGATTCTGCCCTGTTAGTCATAGTATTGTATGGATTCTAGGAAGATTTTTCTTTTCTGACACATAAAATGTTACCAAGGACTATGTCATTTACCTGATTATATGTTTAGTCATTCATTTTTCCAAATGCTACCTACAAACATAAGTTATTTTGAATCTGCCTTACTCAAATAAGATATCTATTCAAGTTGTTTTTAAGTTTTGTTTTAATTTTAATTGACAAAAAAATGTGTATATTTATGGTATACAATGTGATGTTTGATTGATGATTATGTCAATGCTAATGAATAGACTCTGCTTTAAAGTAAAATAAGAAAATAGTTTATTCTGATCCAAGTTATCAGTGACCTAAGTCCAGTAACACGGATTCAAATTGTCCTTAACCAGTATTTTGAAGGGAAAAAAGTTTAACTACATTTACAGACAGAGAGCAAAGGTAATTGTAAATCAATGCATTCCACAGATAGGTTGGTGGTGACATTATAAGTGGGTGAAGGTAAAGCTCAGAAGTTTTGACTGCTGAACCGAGATGGTATCTTGTTGCACTCTTTGTGAGAAGATTGGTCACATCAGGGGTCTGTTCTTTGTCAAGCTGTGGATGGTTAATGAAGTCTAACATACATCCTGGAAAGTTTACCCAATAGTCATGAGAATGTTACTCGAAATACACAGTCAGGAGTAGGGTTTTTCCCCTAGAGGCCTGAAGTATCCTTATCTCATAGGTCCCCCAGTGCTTGACTGTTATTTGATCTCCTTTGGAAACATTTTCCATCTGTTACTGGCTTGAAGGGATCTATTGTAATTTGGTTTCTCCAGAAATGCTTCATTTCACACATACATTGTGGAATGATCACATAGAGCTAATTGACATATTAGTCATCTTGAATGCTATTTATTTATGTTAAAACAAATATTAAATACCCTCTTTGAGCTTGAAACATACATTATTACTAACTACAGTCACCATGGACTTAAGAACAGTGTGTGCATAAAATAAGCCATGGATAGAGAAACAAATATCTCATGGTCTTACTTATTCATATATATGTATAACTGTAGCAATATATATTTTATTCTGCATATCTATAGCAATATATATTTTATTATATATATACCAATAAAATGTTATAAAAATAGACATAAATATATTTTAATTACATATATTAATATAAAATTAATATATTTTAAATGTGTATATCTTAAAAATATATATTAAAATATTTTACAGATATAAGATATAATATTTTATATATATATATAAAACTCATAGAGGTAGAGATTAGAATGTTGATAACCAGAGGTTGGAGATGGAAGATAGATAGATGGAAAAAGATATATAGTCACAGGTTTCAGAGTTTTCAGTTAGGCACAAGGAGTATGTTCTGGTGATATGTAATTAATTATTATTGGCACTTGTGATGTACATTAATTGTGGTGAGTTCATACTATGTCACATTGGGTAGTTTGTGGACTTATTAATCCATCTTTGTCCAAATTTCAGTATAAATAAGATCATCAATTTTCCCTCAATTTTATGTTTTGTTTTGTTTGGTTTGGTTTGGTGGGGTGGCTACCAGGCATCAAACTCAGGGACACTCAAACACTGAGGCATATCTCAGCCCTATTTTGTATTTTATTTAGAGAAAGTGTTTCACTGCGTTGCTTAGCTCCTTACTGTTGCTGAAGCTGACTTTGAACTTGTGATCCTCCTAACTCAGCCTCCTGAGCCACTGGGATTCCAGATGTGCACTACCGCACCCAGCAATTGTAAGTTTCTAATGGACTTCCTAATCATATTTTCCCATACTCTTTGCTTAACAATCACACCAATCTGTTTCTAAGGAAAGAAAACTAATTTGTTTATCTCTCATAACCTAGATAAGCTTAGATATAAATGTATTGTGAATAGATCAATTCTCAATATTTACAATTCTTATGAAAGACATGCTTGCCGCAGCCCGGCTGGCTGGGCAAAATAGCCTTGGGGGGGGGGGGTGACGAACAACTTGTGTATGTTGATACAGCAGGAGTGGAAGCCATTTATTGCAGGACAGGAGCAGTATTTATACATTCCACACAGCTTATCTAATTAGCATAAACTAGATACATCAGTCAACCAATAAGGAATCTCCACACTTAATGGCTCGCTCGTGTTACTTCACAAACCACTCCCTCTGGCATTTTGCCAGGCGCCATCCACACTTGTTTACAGACTCTAATATTTGCTAGGTGCCATCCTGACTTGTTTACAGACTCTAACACATGCTCAGAAGTTCTAAAAGAAGATGAACTTTAATTTATTAGAATGAGCTCATTCTGAAATGGAAAAATCATGATATCCTTCAATTTCATAATCACAGTCATTTCAATAGGAAAGAAGAAAACAAGCAATTATTACCAACACTATTAGATTTACACACACATTGATACACTGCACATGACAATGAAATTTTATATTTTAAAGTGAAAAATAAAACTTTCAAAGCACTTAGAAGTCTGATTGCACAGATTGAACTCCAGCCCCTTACTCTTATCAGCTATCATCTTGGTATAGCAGCTTTTAATACAACACCAGAGGGGAAAAAATCTCACAATCTATTGAATCTTATATTCTTTCAAATGGGATTTCATTTCCAAGCATTGTAAATAACTGATATTTGCTGGCTCTATATGTCAGTATTCTCACCTGTAAGAAGGATATGATCATAGTGTTTATCTGTGGGGCTTCTGTGAGGGTCAAATGAGATAATGTGTGTGACAAGTTTATTAAAGGCCTTAGAATATAGTATTTGCTTACTTATTAAATGTTGTTTGTAAATATTGTTATGATTCTCAGCAAATGGTCATTCCTTTATAAATAAAACGTAAATAAGCCATAAGGTTTAATATTTCCCAGTTTGTCTTCATATCATTTACAACTTTTTCTTCATTTGTATTTGGTCCATAATTTCACAGCAAAATTTCTGGCTCTGATTTAGGTTAAACATGATTAGGGATGCAAACATCAATTATAAATGTCATTTGTGTGTTTATACAAACCAATCTGCTGTATTTCATGGGACTTCCATGCTAGCCACATATGTGTATGAAAAAATTAAGAATATCTACCTAATCTTTAAACCTAAATATTTTGCATGTATACACCCCCCCCAAAACACACACACGCTTACCTGTAAATAATTTTAATGAAAAAAAATTAAACTGACAGAAAATGCCATATAATAAAATGTGTAGAGGGCTCCTATGAGGTGAAAATGGTTTGTGCTATCAACATTACAAATGCCCTCTTTTCCCCAGAGTTTGCTAACATTTATGACTGGTGCTAAACTGTTTAGGATTTTAGGTAGCCCTCAAATAATTTGTTCTCCATCCCCCAGCTTTTGCTATGTACTATTCATCTACCTCTGAAACAGATCTGTTTTTTAGCTAAATTGAATGGGGTATAATATGGATAAATCAGGTGAGCATTAAAAACTATGGAATATAAAGAGATATTTGTTAATATTTGACACTATTAAATTTTATAATATATCCATTAAGTAATCTTTATATAAATAATAAAAATTGTGGAGGAAAAATACATACATGAATCCTTTTTTATGTACTTTATTATGCTCAGAGAAATCAGAATTATATCCAATGTATTCACACAATCTCTGAATGAAAGCAATTTAGTCATTGGGATATGTGAGCACTAATTTTCATTGCATGCAGTAATAAAGAAATGAAAAAACCCACCTGTGCAATGCCTCATGACAAGGTAATTTTTATTGCATTATTGATATCATTTTCTTATTCACACTAAACTAGAGAAACTTAAATTTTATTGATCCGAAAAAGTATTGATTTCACATATTAAATAAACAACAGCAAGTATTAAATCAAGATATCATATATTTCTAATCACTTTTATTAATAATTATATTAACTCCATTGTTAATAATAATAATTATTTTAACTCCATTGTATAAAAGGTCAATATTTTATCTATATTGTAGAGATGTTAGAAATATGTAAATTCCAAATACTTACAATGGTCCCCCAGAATAATAAATATAGTTTCAACAAACTATCTTGAATTATGCATTGTTAATTAGAATAAAAGAAAAACAAGGAATCTTAGTCTTCATTTGGTAGTAAGAAAGTTAATAAATGACTTTTCCTTTCTAAATTATACTAATCACATAAATTAAAACTATTTTAACAATCTGTGCAGAATAAAGATGCAGACAAAATCTATTATTAAAATTCTATAGCTCACATAAATTAGTCATCAAATAAGGAAACTAGGGTATACTAATTTGGAAAGTGAATTTAAAAATGAGCATGTAAAGCAATTGCTATTACTACTCCAAAATCTTAAGATATGTTTGAAGACCTTGACTCTATATCATAAGTAACCTAATAAACTCAAGAAATTTCAGATGAATAAATATAACAGGCATGACACATCATTTTAGAATAATTATTGAAACTATGAACAATTTTAAATATCACAAATTATGTCGTGTTTTAAATGTTTTAAAAATAAAAGTGATTTTTAATAAATAAGATTATTGTACAGGCCAGTGTTATTTTTCAAAGATATAAAAAATATAAACTTCTTTATAAGATAAAGCTGTTTCTTTTCTGTTGTAATATTGTTGTCAAAACCATAAAATATTAAAACCATTTAGGGAAAAATTAGAACTTTGCCATGAATTATTCCGTTTTCAAGTAATTATTCTTTTTTGGAATGACTCAGTGTTAGAAAAGCAACCTGCAAGTACCTAAACTAAAAAATCAAAAAGAATATGCAGAGGCAATAAATCACCATACATGATATGACAGAGATGCATTTATATTTGCATGAATAGTATTTTAAAGTAAATCTCAGTTCCATCAGTTCTGAGAGTTTTCTCCTAGAGTTAAAACTAATTACTTAAATATTATGACTCCAAATCTAGTTTATTCAGCTAGAAATTATATGGTCTAAAGGCATATATAGATCTAAATGTATATATATATATATATATATATATATATATATATATATATATTATACAAAATGTTGTTCTAAATTACCAGTTTCCTTTTACCTATTACACAATTTAATATGCTATTGAAAACAAAGTATGAAATATAGTAATCAAAAAAATCTTTTTTATTAGAAAAAATCTCATTGACTCTTAAAGATTAAGAAAAAAATAGAATAAAGAAAATAAACAAATTTATATGCCAAGTTCTTTCTCAGACATTACAAAGTCCCTATAGAGTAAATGGACACCTAAACATAATAACATCACCATAAAATCTTTATTAAAACTGAATGGCATTCTGTTACTGAGAAAAATGAGATACCACTAAAGTTCAGTTCTATCTGTTGTACTGAACAGAGAAACCATTTACAAGATACAATGAAACAAGAATCTCTTTAAAAATACATGAAGGGCAAATGTGTTTTCTTTATGAGCTTCACAAATTTGATGCACATTCTAATTTCTTTCTATTGTAGCTTCCAGGGTTCCATTGATCTTATGGCGTGGGAGGACTCTTACCATGTGAGTCTTTTACCAGGAGCTATATGACAGCATTAATTAAGTTATGCTTTGGGAAAATGAAAGCAAACAAGATGCATATTTTCTGTTTTGCCAATAACGTGTAGGAATTCTTAGCACATTAATCAATTTGATTTTTTCTGTTTTCTTTTTTGCTATTTCCTCCCTTCCTCCCCCCTTTACCCTCCCTCTCTTCTTACTTTCCTTCCTTCCTTCTTTCCTCCTTCTTATTTTGCTTTAGGGATAGATTCTACCTTAGTAAGACCAAGCTTAGTTAGAAGGAGCAGCAATTAGATATGGATTCCCTACAACCTCTCATTTACAGAGACATTATATAAAAACACGTAAACCTGGTGTGGTGGTACATACCTGAAATCCCAGCAGCTTGGGAGGCTGAGGCAGGAGGATTTGAGTTCAAAGCCAGCCCCAGAAACAGCGAGGCACTAAGCAATTCAGTGGGACCCTGTATCTAAATAAAATACAAAACATGGCTGGGATGTGGCTCAGTGGTGGAGTGCCCCTGAGTTCAATCCCCATTACCAAATAAATAAATAAATAGAAAAGAAAAAGAAAAACACCCGTAACAAAAGGAAGCTTTGAAAACCATTGGAGCTTATGAGCAGCTCTCTTTAATGATTTGTTTTTGTTACGCAAATGTGTTTTATTTTCTCTGTGATTTGCTGGAAGGAAAACAACTGTTCTTCATGTATAAGTCTCTTAATTTGTGAAGGATCATTTAGAGGCACTGTTTTAAGGATGATGAGTTCTCTTTTCATGATTTCCTAACATTGTGGTTCTACTCTTCCCTTTATTACAAGGAGCTTTAACTTTATTTGCCAAATTGCCTTTCTTCAGATATATATGTATATGCAACAAACATTTATTTAAGTTCACAGGTTTTCAGAAAATGATTTGTGCAAAAGGTTACAAGGTTCAGAGCCAAACTTTTTCCAAATGGTGTTTAGTCTTTATCTGCCTCATGCATCTTGTGCCTAGCTCCTTCCCACATCCAAAGGTTTGTCCACAGTACTGTTTTACTCTGACTTTCCTTTTGATAGTTGTTTGTCCTTTTACATCCCTATCATTACTTCATATTCAATATTCTTTTTTTTTCTTTTTTAAAAATTTTTTATTGTTGGCTGTTCAAAACATTACATAGTTCTTGATATATCATATTTCACACTTTGATTCAAGTGGGTTCATCACATGTGTTTCCCCTCCTCTTCCTCCTTATCCTCCCTAGTCTCTCTCAGGTGAACTAAAACGTGTGTGTGTGTGTGTGTGTGTGTGTGCGCGCGCGCGCGCACACGCGCATTTGTTCCACTATGCTAATTATATCAGCATCAAAAACCCTGTCACATTTTATTTTTCAATTATATGTATGACCCCTAGTTAGGTTATGAGTTCCAAGATGATAGGAGTTATACCTTGATCATTCTTTTTTTAAATAAATATATTTATTATAATCATTATTGTTCTTACCAAGGAATATATGCAACAAAATTGTTTCCTTAAATTTCCCTCTACTTCTTCCTCCCTGAACTATGCAAATAAATACTATACATATTCCATTCTGTGATTATATCAAGAAATTTTTTTGTGTGTGTGCCAACTGTGAGGGCAGGCACTGCTCTTGGTGATATTTGCATAGTACTGAACTAAACAGAATCTGTCTTCTAGGAACCTCCAATTTAGTGGAAAAGATATGTTGTTCTTGGGGACAAACTCATTATTATATCTGGAAAGAAAAAAAGGCTTTTGCAATATCAAGTATATTCAACATTAAAATTATGCGTAACTATATTATCAGTGGGATTTAAAGAAAAAAAGCAAATAATTCATATTGTTAAACTTGTATTAATAAAATGTTTCAATCATCAAAACAAATTGAATTATTTTTTTCCTATATCTAATTACTTTTGTCCAAGTAATGCAGCATTTTGTTAACTTCTTATTTATGTTATGACTTTTTAGTATGGATATTTGTATTTCCTGGAGTTTCCAATTGCCCTTGGTTTTATCTTGTTTCTTGATGGTCAATATCACAAGAAACAATTATCTTCAATGTCTCATCAAATTAATCTACTGCTAAGTAACACTGTATGTTAGGAGGACAAAATTAGGCAGACTTCTTAAGTTTTAGAAAGGTAATAATCCCAAGATATTCTTTAGTTGCATTTGGGGGTTTTACATAGTTTATTGATTATTTGAGACTTTGTTTAATTTACTTGACAATAATACTTTTCAGAAAGAATACAGATGTTTCCCTGTTTAATTTAAAAATGTTATTATTCATTTCAAACTTAATTGATAGTTCAGTTGGCAATGGAACTCAATTTTCACAACAGATATTAAAGGTGATTTTTTTTTGTATTTTATTTAAGTGTACAGTTTTGCTGTAGAGAAATCTGTTGCTCTTTTCTACCAACCTACATTTTAAAAATCATCAATGTTCTTTGGTATAAGAAACATATCTGTATGATTTTTTTGTTGGTACCTATCATAGTATTTCTATTAGAATAGGTGCACAAAAAGTGTGGTTATTGATAATGAAGATGATATTTATGATTTCATTTTAATATTTAAGAAATAACCACAAAACATTCTTATTCTCTCTTCCCAATTTTAAAAATTGCATCCATTGGGAAAACTGGTAGTCATCCTAAATCTTGAAAACAAATACAATCGTTCATTTATGTTTTTAATACTCACTAAGCACCTTCTGTGTGACAGGAGCAATTCTAGGTACTTGGAATAAAGCAGTAGAACACTTTTAGTAAAAGAAAGAACTTACCAGTGAGTTAAGTTAACTTACTGAACTAACTTCTCTCAGGGTACTTACTTGCCAGTGTTCTTTCAATATTAGCACAAAAATATCTTGAATCATATACCTCTCTGCATCTCCATAGCCAATGTTCTTTCTTACTGGTACCACTGTAACAAGCTTCCCAAACACTCTTGTAATATCCATATCAAGCAATGCTCAGATCTCACTAGAACCTGTGACCCCACAATTTCTACCATTCTTTCCATGTATCCATATTTTTTTTCTTATTTTGCTTAATTTCCATGATGATCATTATTATCAATGCCTGACATATTGGTTCACCTTTGTTCTCCTGGATTGTCATAATGTCTTGGCTAAAGACAGACTATGATACAAAGTAATCTATTCACTAATTTGGCCTCTGCACCTGTACAGCTGAACATAATTGGAAACAAATATATATATATATATCTTTATCCGTTGCCACATTAATCTTTTTTTCCAGCTTCCCATAAATGTTCACCAAGTCTTTTCCTGTTTTGAGACTTTCCTCTGGTCTGTCCCTTTGCTCAAAGAGTTCCCTCCCTTACTTTCTTATGATTCACTGTTCCACACTCTAGTAGTCTGTTACAATATCACTTTATGCAGTGTACTTCTGTAATTGAATTTTAAAAATAGAATATGTATATTCTGGTTCACGTTCATATATTTTTATTCTATATACTCATTCTCTTTTAACATTTTTTTCTTTTATTTCACAAAATAAACACTAAGAATTCTACAAGAAACAAATTAAAGTAATTTTAGTATGATATTTAAAGGAACTTGGTTTAGTAATGTTTGTGCTTATTTGTTAATGAATTTGTTAGCAAGAACTTGATGTGGATGTCACAATCACTATAATTCCTCAATATACTGGTAGGAATAAATGATAACAAAGATGGATAAAAGCTATAATATGATACAAAATTATTTGTGATTTCTATTGGTAAAAAATAGTGTTGATGTTATTTAAGTTTAATTTAAAAAATTAAGAAAAATCATTGATTTCAGTTAGATAATTTTATAAAAATAAACAGAGAATTTTTCTCATTTAGTTTGCTACCTTCATGAATTTTGCCCAGAAACTTCTTATGGGTCTGTGAGCCCCATATTTGAACACTGAGGATTTAGTACCAAATTCATTCACTTACAGGCACTAAATTCTTTTATAGTTTAATGAATTGTTGGCACAAGTTAGATGTGGATGGAAAAGTTGAGACTGAATGCCAACTCTTCTACTTCTGTGCTGAGAAACCAATGCACAATCCCAAAAATTGCATGCATTTAAGTACTGGTAGACAACATCAGGAGGACTGTCTTGATGTACCATGGATTTGTAGGGCTTTCAAAGATCTAAAATTCTAAGTGCTACATGTTAGACTAAGGACCACAATATTTGTGCCTGACCACACCACTGTTGTACTTCACTGCTTTCTTTTATTTATCATCTCAGATCAGTGATCATTAACTAAACAACAAACAAATGGAAAACAAAATTACATACCTCTGAGATATATTTATTTATGATTACCATTTTTACTGACTTCCCTGTTAAACCACAGCCTTCATAAAAGCCTGGACTTTCCACATCTTACATTCCTCACACAAACCACATTGTCTGGCACATAGCAGATGCCAATCAATATGTTTAATGAATGAATGAGTGAATACACCGAGTTGTAAACCACATTTTACAGAGTATGTCCTTTGATTTGCACTAAAAGAGTTTTAAATTTTGAAAAATATTATAATTAATATAAAATTACATATCAATGAACAAGATTTCTTAATTTGTATCTAACAAGAAGGAAATGCAAAACTCTCTAACTAGCATGATACCTTCTAACACTAACCTATGAGAATCAAATTATTATAATGATTTACAAAGCCTGGGGAACAATGATTATACCAAATCCTATGAAGAGGTATTTCATAATTTATTGGTAAGACTTAATCAGGAAATACTCATTTGATAGGGGCAGTGGCAAGGGTATATATAGAACACTGGGCCTGTGCTTGATTGGAAATGCAAAACTCCCTTTTTCTAAGGAAGGTTTGCCTGGGGAAAATGTATCTATTTATGTACAAGTAGCTGGAATTCTCTAAGGGAATCTTCAATGCTTCATGCAGGTGGGTGGAAAATGCAATGTTTAAAATGAACAGAGACATTAGAAGATCAGGTAGGAGGAAGGAGTGAAATGATGTAGGCAGGAGAAAATGCACAGCCGTGGGTGAGAGCGAGCTTTGACCTTGATGTGGGTGGTGAGGACAAGGCCCCGAGAAATGTGTTGTAGGAACAAAAACAAGAGCTACTGGGAAGAGAACTGAGTTTAACAGATCCTTTCCTATGAGGCCAGAATAGCCTTGTACACACTGTGAAGCAGCACTAGGCTTTGTCTACAGCTCAGGGAGGGCGGCCACACATCTGGTCACAGCACAGGTGCCACGAGGAATCTGCCAGTCATCGTAATTAGTCTATCATGTCTCCTTGTATGACAGGCACTTTATGAAATGTAAGATCATTTGAGAAGGAAGGGAAAACCATGGTATTGAATAAATTCTAGCTTGTCCATTATGTTTTTAAAAGATCTGTCTTGATTCAAATAAGAACCAGCAGAATAGTCAAAAGGATAAATACTTATATTAGATAGTATTGGATACCATCCTGGATTCTTCCCTTACCTACTGTGCAACATTATATAAGTACTTAACCTTCAATTCTTCATGCAGGTGGGTGGAAATCTCAGTTTGGGGTGGGATGAAATAAGCTACTGTATAAATGGTGCATAACACCAGGCCCAGCACATAGATTATTATATGCCTCCAATAGCATTGCATATTATTGTGGTCTTTGTTGCTGCTATTGACATTGCTTTCAGTACGTATCAGACCTGAACCTATTTTATTTGATTTGCTACAAGTTTATCAATTCATCAAATTTTATTCATATATATAGGAAACTAATATTTATGTAATGCTCTTTTATATCACCACTCATATTTACACTATGCAATACATTCTCATTTAGAATGCTTAAATAAGTCTGAGTGTCTTCATGTTTATTCAATAATAATAGAGGTTGAAATTAAATTATTCAAAATGTATAATCAGAAGGAACATCACAAAGTATATAGTGGCTTATGCATATAAAATGGCAGTTAAGAAATATTAGGGTGGCTGAATTCTTTCTGTAGCCAACCAGGTACTGGTAGTTTCCTGACAATCTCTTATCACATTTCTAACATGATTCTTCAGCACATATCTATAGAAAACAGACTTATTTCCCAGGACTTCATATTTATATGGAGTTCATATGATTCAAACAGGTAATTTCATGTTTTAAAGATACAAATTTCCTAAAATAGATAAAACTAAAATTTAATGCTCTTAACAATTGATTTCATTTTAACAAAATGCCCTGCTGCTCAGCCATGGTCAAGGAAAAATATCCCTAAATTTTGCATTAATCCCATACCAGGCATCCAATATCCA